GACAGAGAGAGAGAGACAGAGAGAGAGAGAGAGAGAGACAGAGACAGACACACACACAGACAGACAGACAGACACACACACACACACACAGACAGACAGACAGACAGACGGACAGACGGACGGACGGACGGACAGACGGACAGACGGACAGACACACAGACAGACACACAGACAGACTGTCAGACAGACAGGTACCTGGTCCTTCTTGCGGCTCAGGCAGCATCGCACCACGTCTGCCTCCAGCGCTGCTCTCCTGCTCAGCTCCACCGGCTGGAAGTACCGGGACAGCCGGGTCTGACCCTGCCGGTTCACCATCAGAACAAACTTTATCATCCTGAGGGCCAGCCGCCTGAAACACAGAGTCACGGCTTCATTACACTGTCATCTGAGCTTTTACATGTTAACTGTATTGTAATATTATATTTGAACTGTACTATATATTATTTCATTGACCTGTACTTAAATCGTGTTTTATAATTGTTAGTGGGATGGAGATTATGCAATGTTTGTTGATTGTTATGTACCTGCCTAAGGACTGCAGATGGAAATGAGCTATTAGCTTAAATCTAGCATAAGATAATTCTGAGACTCATGTATTTCTATGCATGGTCCTAGTTGAAATAAATACATAATAAGAAGTCAATAAAACTCATTTAGGTACCAAAAAATAAAAGCACTGTGGAACTGGGAGCTTTCAGCTTTGTAAATACAGTTTTATTGGATTATAGTTGTTGATGCATTCATGTGTTCATCACTTTAATGCTGCAGCAGGTGGAGCCAAAGTTTAGTTACTTAAAATCAGTGATGTAAAGTAACTTAGTACTGGACTGAAGTACAATTTTGAGGTACTTTACTTGAGTATTTCAATGGCATGCTACTGTGTACTTCTACTCCTCTACAGTTCAGAGGTAAATGGTGTACTTTGACTCCACTACATGTATTTAATCCCTTTAGTTACTTCACAGATGTGGATGAATGATGTGAAATCTAATCAAGTGTTGAATCAGACTTTAGCTCCACCTGGAGTAAATCCACCAGCTACCCTGCAGTATACAAAGTACTTCAAACTAGCTGCACCTTCACCAGCTTTGAGAACACTTTCATGATCAATCATTATAAAACATATCATATATATTATTCTGAAATGGACCAATCTGCACAACGACTACTTTCACTGTCGCTACTTTCACTATATTTAGATGAGAGTACTTTTCTACTTTTACTTGAGGAACATTTTGAATGCAGGTCTTTTACTGTAACAGAGTATTCCTACACTCTGGTACTTCTACTTTAACTCAAGTACAAGATCTGAGTACTTCTACTTTTACTCAAGTACAACAGCTGAGTACTTTTACTCAAGTACAATACCTGAGTACTTCTACTTTTACTCAAGAACAAGATCTGAGTACTTCTACTTTTACTCAAGAACAAGATCTGAGTACTTCTACTTTTACTCAAGTACAACAGCTGAGTACTTTTACTCAAGAACAAGACCTGAGTACTTCTACTTTTACTCAAGTACCAGATCTGAGTACTTCTACTTTTACTCAACTACACAATCTGAGTACTTCTACTTTTACTCAAGCACAAGATCAGAGTACTTCTACTTTTACTCAAGTACAAGATCTGAGTACTTCTACTTTTACTCAAGTACAGGATCTGAGTACTTCTACTTTTACTCAATTACAAGATCAGAGTACTTCTACTTTTACTCAGTACAATATCTGAGTACTTCTTTCCTCTCTGTATGTAGCAGAAACGGAAATACTCAAGTAAAGTACAAGTATTTAGTTCAGTAAATGTGCCAAAAATACTATTAAACAGCAGATTACAATGACAGAAATGTCCGAGCATCACTTGAAGGCATCCCGTCGTTTCACATATTAACCGTTATTAACCGTTAATAACGCAACGGTGTCAGTTATTGGTTAAAATCATGAATGTTGACTTACCAACAGCTGTTAGCTTGTAGCTAAATTGTAGCTAAATCATCATCACAGAATAACAACAACTCCAAAGCTAGCTGCTGTTAGCTTCTTTTAAATGTTGTTTGTATTCAGTCTGCAGTTCAGACACTCTAAGTTAAATAAACATGTATATTATAGTTTAACGATTCAAATTATGATATGGTTACTTTGAAATAAACAGGAGGCTTCAGTTACAAGAAGCTATGATGCTAGCTGGAGTTGTTTCTGACGCATGCTCAGTAGAGCCCGCATATGGTGCGTTCAAGAAACGAATGGTAAATGGGACCTCTAAGACTCAGCCGACTCAGCCTAAGTTGTTCATTTATTGTTGTTTAACTAAATACCATATTACAGATTCTGTAAACTGAGGATAGTATATTTTTTTAAATTGTAACTTTAGTAGTATTAAAGTGTGGTATTTGAACTACTGAAGTGTCTGAATAAATCACACTTCACCGTTTCCGAAAAAAATAGGGTCTGTGAAAAGTTTTCAGATTCATAATTATTAATGATCATGATATAAAATATTGTTATTTTAAACAAAATGATTCATAGGTCAACCAATGACACTAATATTTTGAAACCTACAATAATTCATAGATCACATCTACATTAACAAATCGAATTTAGGTGAAACACTTGACATCACATTTAGGAGAGAACAGATGGTGGAGGTAAACGGTACTCTGTCCCCCCCCCCCCCCCAGTGAGCTGTGGTGTTCCACAAGGAAGCATATTAGGTCCGTTACTGTTCCTAATTTATGTAAATGACATGTCATCAGCATGTGACTGCAACTTGTTCCTGTTCGCGGACGACTCAGCCCTGCTGGTCTCTGACAGGAACAGGTTGCAGGTTGAAAAAACCCTCAGCTCCGAGCTCGGCAGAATCTGCACCTGGCTCGCTGATAATAAATGATCATTACACCTGGGTAAAACAGAGTCCATTCTCTTCGGTTCGAAACATAATCTCAGCAAATCCGACGACTTCTCAGTTGCAGTGGGCGACATTATTGTCACAAGTAAGAAGGAAATTACATACCTAGGATCTATTCTTGAGGCAAACCTCTCCTGTGACAAAATGGCATCCAATGTAATAAAAAAAGTCAATCAAAGAACTAGATTCCTATACCGGATCTCCTCTCTGGTAAACAAAAACACCCTGAAGACTCTGGCAGGAGCACTCATTCAAGGGTACTATGACTATGCTTGCACGTCATGGTACCATAGCACCTCCAAGGCGCTACAAATAAAACATCGCAAAATAAACTGGTCAGACTACTGCTTGACCTTTCATCTAGAACCCACCTCACCTCTGCCCACTTTGACAACCTAGGATGGCTTAGAGTAGACGACAGAGTACAGCTACTTGCAATGGGCCTGGTCTACAAGATCCACTACACCTCTATGGTACCCATGTACATGTCAAAAATGTTCCCAAAGGTCAAGGAATACCATGATCATAACACCAGAGGGAGCTCCACAAATCATGTGAAACTCAGATTTGGCACAAAAAAGGGGGAATACACGTTTCGCAATGATGCCACATCAAGGTGGAACGCTCTTCCCACAACTGTGAAGGAAAGTAAAACTATACTTACCTTCAAAACCTCTCTTAAAGAGCACCTTCGGGGGAGAGCATTGCAAAACTGGCCCCGGTAATGGTACAAATCTCAACCTGTCGTTCAATGGACAGCTTCCCCCCCCCCCCATCTATGTATATACTCGCATTTTAGACTCTGTTACTAACTGTATATCTGTAGACTTGGTATGTCTTAAATGTCCGGTTAGGATGTATTAGAACGAAATCTAAAATGAAAATTGTAAATAAGCAATCTGTATGTAAAAAACCACCTGTATGTAAATTGTAAATAAGCCATCTGTATGTCAAATATGTCTTAAATGTCTTAAATGATATGATGAATTGGAAATGGGGGACCCTGATGTAAACAAGACGAAAGTCTTTCTCTGGTCTGCATCCCCTTAACAATTGTATGTTTTGAGCTGTACTGTACTGTACCCAATATACAAGCTGTTAATACACTTTTCAATCAATCAATCAATAATCTGACAATGATAAAATGTGTGTGTGTGTGTGTGTGTGTGTGTGTGTGTGTGTGTGTGTGTGTGTGTGTGTGTGTGTGTGTGTGTGTGTGTGTGTGTGTCTGTGTGTCATGTTAAACAATTAAAACGTATATATTAAACTCAGTGAATGGCTCCTAAATAACCTCATTCTGAATTACAGACAGCGTATTAGGAGGTTATTGTCACTGTGTGTGTGTGTGTGTGTGTGTGTGTGTGTGTGTGTGTGTGTGTGTGTGTGTGTGTGTGTGTGTGTGTGTGTGTGTGTGTTTGTCAGTGTGTGTGTCTGTTTGGGAATGTGTGTGTGTATGAAGCCCTTTTCTCTTTATTTTCCTTGATAGTGTTGTTTAAGACGTACACTACATTGTTTTGATTCTGTGTTGAAAATATTTGTAACATGTGCTTTGTATGCCTCTAATACATGTTTTACTTGTATCACATTATCAAGATTATAGAAAAGTAAGAAATACTAACAATACATGAGGGGGTCCTCAGCCTGGTGGGCTGTCTGAGGGCAGGGGTGGACTACTGTAGGGCCATCCAAAATGACACTTCTCTGCTGTGTTTCTTTGTAACATGATCCAACCATTGGTCTTGTGTTAATGTTCTTCTGTATATGTACATTCACCCTATCAGAGTTTTACTTATGTTCTTTTTTCAATGTCTATTCATACGTGTTTATTCTTATTTTACTTATTCTTATCATCCCTGTGTATATATGCTCATGTGTACTATGTGTGTTTCTCTCTTATTCTGTTGCTGCTATAACACCTGTATTTTCCTACGGGGATCAATAAAGTATCTATCTGTTCTTATCTCATAATAATAATAGACTCTGAATTCAGGTAAGATTTCCCACGCTTGCTTGTATTCCTTGAACGTTCCATAGTGGATGACCGAGAAAAAAGAAGCTGGATTGATCTTCCCGTCATGCACCGCGGCTGGGTTTTCCCTCCCGTAATGATCCAGGGAGAGAGAGAGAGAGAGAGCAGTAATGGCGGCCGGTTAGAGCCATACACAAACACCGTCCGCAAACAGCCGCTCTCACCGCACCGCGCTCCGGGGGGCAGCTAGCCTCACACACCGCGGCGGAGCGACACACACGGAGCGGATACACCGACTCTAACGGAGAGAGGGGGGGGGAACCGGACCGGGCGGGAATCATTTCAGTTGGACCGTTTGCTGCCTGGGACTTTCCTTCTACTTTTCTAAAAAAAAAACAACATGGATGAGCACCCCGGCGGAGGAGGAGGGGTCGGATCCCAGAGACAACCTCCACAGTCAGGGAGCAATAATGGAGGTGGTGGAGGAGTCATGGTGCCGCACCAGCCGGACGAGATGCCCCGGCAGCAGTACACCATCCCCGGCATCCTGCACTACATCCAGCACGAGTGGGCCCGCTTCGAGATGGAGAGAGCGCACTGGGAAGTGGAGAGGGCCGAGCTCCAGGTTAGCATGTTAGCTTAGCACTGATTTATGCTAAGCTAAGAACAACAACAACAACAGCAAGCGGAGACGTTGTTTAACTTAAGCATTTTAGCTGTAATCAGCCATCTTATCAATTCATATTGACATTTGTATTAGTTTATATTTACTGCACGTGAAATGGTCGCTAACGTTTGCGGCGAATGAAATGTTTGTACCCTAGCATGCTAAGTAGCTAAGCTAACAGGGTAGAGCCATAGGGCAGACAGGAATAGCGGAATGTGCTGCGGTTACAGTTAGCTTGAGCTAGTTAGCCCTTAGCTGGAGCTAGTTAGCTTCACATCGCTGTCAGAGTGGCTGGTGGTAAAAGATAGGATAAGATTCACTTAATCCCCAACTGGGATTGTTTTCGTTTCAGCTGCATTTTAAAACAAGGCATTGCACATAATGTGAACATCAAAAGAGTAGAAAATAAACACACATAAAATAGAAAGTTAACACATCAACATTGAAAACAAGACAGAACTAAGTCCACTTATAAGTTTAATAGATAAGTAGATATATACTTTATTCATCCCAAATTGGTTGATTATTTTGTTACAGGCATTCAAATATTGTAAAGGTGGTATAAACATGATAACATATATTTACATAAGACATATACCACAAAGAATACACATTATAAAATATCCTGCATAATATTCTGTAAAAGCCCAATATACCACAGCACCAGAAATATAGACATTAACTTAAGGAGCATAAACTTATAGACATGGGATAGTATTTAAAATACAGTTGTACAAATTGTGGAGAGTTATGGTCAAACTATGGAGCAGTGATTGTTCTGCCAGTCAGAGGTGAATAGTTGTTCAGTGTTAATGCAGTTGACAGGAATGACTTCCTGTATCTGTCCTGCTGTGACATCAGAGCTGGATCAGCTGGAGCAAACTACCCGACATACTCTACTTAAGTTCACTTAAAGGTTTATTGTTGTGCTAGTAAACACCTCTAATCCACCCTATTCATCTCACAGCTTTTCTCACTTTACACATTAAGATTTCTGCCATATGAAAACGGATCCCTTGCTATAAATGAACATTGAATTAACAATATCCAACAGTTATAACAAGTTAATCTGAAATAAGTTAATTGACAGAAGGTTCATTTGATAATAGTTAGTCATCTTTCATGTAGAGCATGAATACTTGTGATTTATAAGTAATGATGGTGGTATTGGGACGGTTTGTTGGGCAACACCAGAGTCTGAAGGTGTCAATTTGGGCTCTGGGTAATTGGGACATTTGTCATTAACAGGGTGTCCGCGGGGTCTTAAAAAGTATTCTATAACACATAGGTTTGAGCAAGCTCTCTGATTGGTCAATAGGCGTGTTTGATTCCACGATCAAACAACGATCAAATGGAACGTGCCTAATCACAAAGTATCCAGTGGCCTACACACGCCACTAGCCTACCGAAACTACTTCCATGAGCCTACATCGTGTGGTTTCCATAGCGACGTTTAGCGACACACAGCCGCAAGCGCCTCGGTCCTGCCGCAGTACTGTCGTACCAATAATGACGTTCAAGAACGGCCTCTCGTGTATGATTGCTTAATTAAAGGTTGATAAATGAATTTAGTGAAAATTAAAGCTATTAAACGGCATTTTCCAAGGTTTAACATTCTGTAGCTTGTTTTCAATAAGTATATAAATGGTCCAAAGAGGTTGTGTTCTACAGTCTGCCTGAATGTAATCATGGCGTAGGTGTGTAGTGTGATTCTGTAGTTTATTGATGGCATCCCGTTGGGTTTGACGTCATCTGAACAGGACATCGCACGCTCACTGCTTGATAGCGCGAAGCTCCGTTTACGCCGGTTGTTAAACAACATCGTTATGGGGAAATGCAAGTCTGCGTCCAAATGGTTGGAAGATAAGGAGGAAGGACAATCAGTACTGTATATAGTCAATGTGAGGTAAAGTGTGTCGCCAAGGTAACCGGTTAGAACTCCAAGTGGCGATGAGGTCTTAAAATGTACGGAAAGGGTCTTAAAAGGTCTTCAAAGGTTTTCCATCTGAATTCAGGGTTCCTGCAGATACCCTGATTAAGTGTAGGAACAACAATCAATCTATTAGTTGGGAAAACAATCAGCAGATGAATCAAAGTAAATATTCCTTAATAGTTCAAAATGTTCACACCCCAGAAGTCCTGACGTATAATAATTAGGGATGTAACGATATACCGAATATCGCGGTAAATAAACATCCCAATACCGCGATTTGCGGTGTTATGCCGTGCGTGCATGCACCTCGCGGGAGCGCGCACAGCGTAAAGCAAAAGCTCCCAGACATGTGTTGATCTGTACGGCACAGTACGGTTTGGAAACTATATCACTTCCTTTTGGAGGGCATGCATAACACGGCAAACACCAGAGCCTCGCTGCGGGGAAACGTTGCCGCTGTTCCGAGTTTGTTCTAATCTGTCAAAATGACTGCTTTCAGAATTTTCCGTCATTGTTAAATAAAATATTCGGTTAACGCGACCTCTGCTGTCCCGGCAACACCAGTACCAAGAGAGAGAGTTGTTTCCAGAGCAGGGGATTTTGTAAACGCCCAAACATCCCAGCTTATAAATACCTGGAAATGTGGACATTCTCATATTCCTAAAAACCTGTCTGATGATGCCGAGTGAGCGACTCGTGAGTTTGAGTTAGTTGAAAAACTAAAGTGAAACTTGATTTATTTGATTGCAGGGTCTGATTATGAAATGTTTATTTGTGAGATGCAGTGGCACAAAGAAAATGCCTACTTTGTTTGGTAGTACTATAGGTACAAAAACACTGGTTTTCTTGTTCCAGTCTGTTACTGTCACTTTGTTTTTGACACTTTAAAATACTGCTATCCGACTAACATGCTGTACACATCACATTTATTATTTAATAAGGAAACATTTTCAGAGTAAAAAATGTTTTTATTGAAAAAAATAAGTACATTTTTTCCCCCTTTATTATTCAATATCGCGGTGAGTACCGTGGACTTGTTATCGCGATATTATCGTATCGTGAGTTTTTGGTATCGTTACATCCCTAATAATAATGTAATGCTATAATATATATTAGTATGACATTCACCGTTTCTACTTAAAGTACATGTTTCTTATTATACGTGGACACTTTCTCTGAAGTAATTAGTTTTTATTGCAGCATGGTATTAGTACTTTAACTGGCTCTAAATACGTCCCCACCTCTGCAGAATGGTAACGTAGCACTTTAGCATTCACTGTTGCCGTCATCACTTTCCTGTGTCGGCCCATGAGTTCAAACCTGAGCCAACGTAGAAAGGGTATGTAGTCGGTAAAGAAGGGAATCCACCTGGCTGTCAAATAGTATTAATAAAGCCTGTTTTTAAATCATATTCCAATACGTTGAACAATTACGTATACATTGAGTTGATATAGTTGAAAAAAAGCCCATTTAAACATCTCATTTTCTGTGTGTGTGTGTGTGTGTGTGTGTGTACTCGTATCACTACGGGTAAAATAAAGCATTCGTCATCTCATTTTCAGCATCAAACAACAATATAACAAGACGAAAACAAGAAGCCGTCTAACTTGCATCTAAAATTAGACACCGTCAGTCATTGTATACAGAAAACGATTATTCCTTATAACATGTGTGAATATGGTATCCATGCAGACATGTTTGGAACAGGAATGAATATTTTATGATGCCGGCAAAAAAGGTTGGTGTTCTTGAATGTGTGTGTGTGTGTGTGTGTGTGTGTGTGTGTGTGTGTGTGTGTTAAAGTGCTGAAATGTGGTGCAGCTCATGTCTTTGTCATAACACACCCTGCAGTAAGCGGACTGAAGTGGAGGTTGCCAGCTGTGTGTGTGTGTGTTTAATGACAGGGTCTTAGTTGCACACCCTGTGTTTGCTCTGCTCGGACTTGTTGCGTTGTGACACTGGATGCCTTCTGCATGACTCGTCAGTGTTCCTGATAAGAGAACACACACACACACACACACACACACACACACACACACACACACACACACACACACACACACACACACACACACACACACACACAGACCAAGGTGTCCACATTCCTCAATGTTAACATTTACTGTAGGAGGAGAGCCAATAAAGTGAAGCCACTAAACGGTTCTGTGGAAATGCCTTTATGAATACACAGGGAAGGAGTGGTGATGAGTTGTGGAAGGGTGGGAGTTTAATAGCTTCTTCCACTTTGATTTAAAGCATTCACTAATACTTGAGTGAATGTGAACCGTAGCAGAATAATCAGCCAGACACTATTGATCTACACTGAAATACACTTCATCATCATTTTTTCCTCACTTGAGTTATGGCAGTACAGAATCGACTAAAAGCTATTCTTGCGTGATAGCGCTCGGGTTCAGTGCCACAAATCCAGCTGCTTCCCAAAGTTCATGATTTGGGCCGACATGGAGGAAGGAAAGGGAAGTTGTAAAGAACTACAGAAACATGATAACCTGGCATTTTGCACAGGACTTTATTTGTGTTTCGTGAGCTTTTTGAAATGCAAGACGAGTTAACGCACACGGAAAAGTACTTTCTTTTGTTATATCTCACATATTAGTCATTTGTATATTGTTTCTAGAGATTCTTCAGCGTGGAAACCAGCAGTCGCACGGCTGACTGTCGTGTCTTGTTGTTCATTTTACATTACATTACATGTTAGACGCTTTTATCCAAAGCGGCTTACATACTCAATACTGTGGGCAATTTGGGGTGAAGTGTCTCAGGGACACAACGACATGCTGACTGCAGCGGGGTTTGAACCTGAATACCAAACCACTGCGCCACACGCATTTGTAATATCTTCCTTTTCCAACATCACTTCAAAGTAAATCTCACAAACACCACGATGACTTTGCTGTTGTTCGGAGATCCGTCTTAAAAACCCACGGACACTTTTGAATCCATGATTTGCCTATTCTTCCTGCGTCTTCACATGTGGAGGAAACACACGAACACTGAGGGAATA